ACCTCTCTGTATCATCCCAGCCCCAGCCAGCTAAATGGAGAGTACGAAACATTTCGTTTTAGTTCACGGATCTTGCCATGGAGCTTGGTGCTGGTACAAGGTCGTCACCCTCCTCAAGACGGCGGGTCATCATGTCACCGCCTTGGACCTTGGTGGTTCTGGGGTCGATCCCAAGCCGCTTGAAGAGATCACTTCTATTTCAGACTACTTGCAACCATTGATGGAGTTCATGGCCTCTCTCTCTCACCAAGAGAAGGTCATTTTGATCGGTCACAGCTATGGCGGCCTCTGTATATCTCTAGCTATGGAGAGGTTCCCTGAGAAAATATCAGTAGCCGTCTTTCTTACCGCCTACATGCCTAATTACAAGTCTTCTCCAGGGATTCTCATACAGGAAGTAATTAAAACGAAGTTTTTTCTTTTATTTATTTATATATTTATTTAATTCACCATAAATTCACATGGTTAATTACACTCTCCTTATTTATTTATTTATTTAATTAGTACTTCAAAGGAATCCAAGTTGAGTCCTTAATGGACTGCCAGTTTACATTCAATCAAGGCAAGGAAAAGCCACCGACTTCAGCACTGTTTGGTCCAGAATTCATGAAAGACAAGGCCTACAGACACTGCCATCCAGAGGCAATTTTTCAGCTTCTGATTTAAGCACAGTAATTTAAAAGTCCTTGATTCATCGTTCTAAACATATATTTGTGTGTTTACGTTGTTTCTTGTTTGCATAATGCAGGATTTGGAATTGGCGAAATTGTTAGTTAGACCAAGTGGGATCTTCTTGGATGACTGGAGCAAGGAGAACATGCTAACAGAAGAGAAATATGGGTCGGTGAATCGAGTTTTTGTCCAAACGGAAGAGGACGAAGTGGTAAAGGAAGAGTTTCAGATGTGGATGATTGAGAATTACCCCACCAGGGAAGTGAAGTTGATCCCTAAATCTGGCCATATGGTTATGCTTTCCAAGCCTTATGAGCTTTCCCTTGTTTTGCAAGAGTTGGCTGACAAATATAGTTGAAATAATTGTGAGCTGAAATTCGTGTTAAGATACATGTTGCGCTCTAGTAAATCATTTTAATGAAAAGAACATTTTCTAGAATTATTATTATTATTATTATTATTTTATCTTTGGGCCTCTTCAAGAATTGTTGTATGAACAGACTCTGATTCTGTTATATTAACTTGTGTTCTAAATTACAGTAACTTTGCGATTGCCCCAAGCAGGCAAGGATGAACCTAGGAAATTATGTTGGGGGGGGAGGGGGAGGATTTCTTGTTGAGTATTTATGTTTGAAGTATATTGAAAAACATCAATTCATTCTCTTTTTAATTTTCTACTCTTTTCCTTGAAGAAAGATTCTGTTGTAATCGTTTTTCAGTTAATATTTTGAGCAAAAACAAGAAATGAATACATTTATAACAAGAGAAACAAAAACATCATGGTAACACTTTCTAATTTTTTTTAATAAAATAAATCTTTTTATTAAAATAAGAAGTATGTAATGAGAACAATACAGAAACACCCTGTGCAAAGATTAATTTGAGATTAATAAGCTTACCTAATAAATTGGAAATTGATAAAAAAAAAAAGAAAAGAAAACAGTATGACATCAAAGAAATCGTCAAGTTATTAGATGGAATACTAATTTATAAAATAAAAAAATAATGCTAAGAAATTAAAGTTTTTATTGTGCTTATTATGAAAAAAAATTTTCATTTATTGAGTCAAATGAGAAAGAGAATCTTAAGAATCTTAATTCTAAATCAATTAAACTTTTATAAATTTCATAATCTGAATCTTGTAGAAACTCTTTACCTAGATCCTAAATGTTCTCTCTATATTTAAATTTTAAATGTCCCTTATTATTCAAACCCTAAAATTAAATCTTAATAAATAAAATTTAAGGGACTTTATTTATAATTTTTCAAAAGTTTAGGCGGCAGCTCTCCCCACCCCGGCCCCGGGGGACTAGCACGGTCCCTGCAAGCAGGCGTTCTTGTAATGGGTGGGTTCGCCTTTTGACAGACACAGAAGTCAACGAATTTTTTAGATGCATTTTGGCGGTTGGTAAGTCCTAGTTAAGTATGTGCTAGAGGTACCATTATTTTTTACGTTGTAACTCCAATTTACATGTAATGAGTATGAGTAGCCATTGTAGTTCGTTTATGAATAAAATTTTTTAGTTGATCATTGAAAAACAAAACTCTTTACTTGTGTTGGGAGATCAAATCGATACACATGAACTTTTGAGATATTATTTATATTAAGATCAAGAAATTTACAAAAAATTATATTTTTATTATTCTTTTTAAAAACTCCTTATACTCTCTTAATACTATTTCTTTTCTTCCATAGGTATAAATTTTTTAAATCCAACTTTATTTTCAAATAAGAATAATAATAAGGAAAATGATTGGCAAACCCTTACTTCAATACATTTTTTGACATACTTCTAATTCAACAATTAAAAATATAATATAAATACAGTTAATTCAGTCAATTTCTATATTTTGTGTGTATGATCGTATGTTTAAATTTATTTGTCTTTAATTTCAGACTAAAAAATAATAATTTTTTAATAAATATATTGTGCAATATATTGAACTGAGTATATACCAATTACTGTCATAATAATAAAAACAACAAATTTTATGAGACCAAACTTTAGAATCATGAATCATGTTATTTAAAATATTAAAAAATAAATAATATATTATTTAATGATTAACTCTTTTTATTTTATTAGGTTAGTGATATTATATGTGCGAACTCATTTAATAATATAATTTATGTCACATTATTTGCCCTATATTTTTTTCCTCTATATCACTATTTTTGAATTAATGATCATTTTTTCATGTTTAAAGAATACAAATATATTATTTTATTTTATTTTTTAGTTATTTCTTAACTTTAATTAACCATCCTATTATTAAAAATAAAAAAAAAAAATAACAGTTATTTTAAGGTATATAATTAAAGAGAGTAAAATAAGTAAATATTTAATTGGCTTAACTTATGCTTCGTTGTTAAAAAAGAATCTTTTTTAAATGTTGAATCAAATAAATACAAATTTTGCTTAGTGGTTGTATTACTTCATCCCTCCTAAAATAATATACTTTTTCTTTAAAAAAATTTATCATAATAATAATTATTTTTTATATTTTTAAAAGAGGCTATTTTTTTACTTTTACCTTATTATTATCTCTTAACTTTAATTATTCATTCTATCATTAAAAAAGTCTCTTTATTTTTATTTATTTTTAAGAGTAATACAAGTAAATGTACTAATTATCTCCCAATTTTTAATCTCATGAAGCTCCCTCTGCACAAAATAACTGTTTTTTTAATCTTGAATTTATCCTTAATTAACTATCATTTTTTAATTTTTTAAAGGTAAACAAATATTTTTTTTCTACTTTAATCTTATCTTTAATTAATCATTTAATCGCACCGAGCCATTCGGACAAAGTGACAATAGCCACTCATGATGCATTCCCTCCTCCCCAGGGCTGGGGTTCGAACCCAGCCCCTTGTAAAATCCGTTCAAAAAAAAATCATTTAATCATAAAAAATCTCTCTTTATTTATTATTTCTTTTCAGGATATTATAGATAAATATAAATATTGTCTCTAAATTTTTAATTTAAAAAAATAAAAAAAATAACAATTATTTTCAAATATGAGAAGTAAAATAAAAATATTTATTGTTCTAGATAGAAATAGAGGGAGTACTAAGTTAATTGCTGTACCAAATTTTGCTTTGACATTTTTACCCTGGTTTACTCGAGTGCTTGTGTATGTGTGTATATATATATTTGTTAATTTTTTTATTTTATAAGGATCAATATATTTTTTTATCTTGCTAACAAAAGAATACAAATTTTGCTTTATCGCATTGAAAAGTCCAAAACAAATTTAGTCACAAATTGTAGGCACTTTTTTTCTTTTTTCTTGAACGGCACAAATCGTAGGCACATACAATGTTCCACAAATGAAATGATTATTTCAAGAAGAATAGGTAAGATTGTAAGAATGGGGAGTGGGGTACGTAGATTGAAATGATTAATTAAAACAATCCAATGGTTTTCAGGGGCAGTTGGGATACCGTCCAATTATTTCGTCAGCTACGGTGGGTGGAGCCATGGAGGCCAGAAAATGCATCGCCTGCTGCCTTTCAGCTCCTCCAAGAAATTGCCAGCAAATGGGATTTGCTCATCACCTTAATTATCTTAAACAACAACATAGTGCAGTGGAGAGTGACAACCACTCACAACATAATGGAGGAGAAGGAAGGGATGCTTTCTTGGTTCAATCAAATTAAATTTTTGATAAATATTAACCTCTGACATTAAAGACATTAAATTTAATTGTCACATTTATTAAATGAAAGTAGTGCATACTAATTAATCTTGATTTTT